TTTTTTTTTACCTTGTGTTTTATTGGCAATCTCCATATAGCTCTTCACACTGTTTGTTTTACATTCCCTTCTTTACTAATCAATCTGTCATGTAGCCCTCTCCTCTCCTTCATTGAATGAACAAGTTGATAAATTGTCATCACTGAAAATATCCTTATCTTGTTTGTGCTCCACACCAGCCTGCCTTTGGCACCCCACTTACTCACATGGATCTTCAAAATGTTACTGGCATCTGTTGGGTATTGCATAACCAGGTCCTCGTCCCACTTTTTGTCTCATGCAACCATAAGATTAACCACCTTGCATAATTTCTGCTTATCTACCACAAAAGGACATTGAGTTATGAAATGAGGTGAATCTGGGATCCAAGGTGAATCCAAAGATATCCACTAACAACCCATTACCACTTGCAATCCAAGCTCTAATTTCAAAGAATCTCTAGCCTCAAGCCATCTTTTTCCACATCCGATAATAGAAATCTTTTTTCTTGACACTCATTAACTTCTATTTATGGAAGTACCTTCCTCTAATAACTCTACTCATCAACACATTTGGCATTGTAAAAACCCTCCAGAGTTGCTTAAGGATTAAAAGTTTATTGAACTCTCCTAAATCTCTAATCCCCTATCCCCCATCTTCCTTAGACCATAATTTTTAAACCCGGTCCAGAAATCAACCCGGGCAGGTCTTCTGGTCACTAGGTCACCGGTTCAACCGTCGGGTCACTGGGTCAATTACTGAACCGGATAATTAATTTTAAAATTTTTAAAATTATATATATTGTATTTTTGACATATAAATATACATCAAAGTAACAAAAATAAATGTTTTGTATACAAAATTTGTATATTTAAGTGTTAATTATATTAAATCTCACAATAAATATTTACTATGTCATTATATAAACATTGTTTTTATTTTTTATATAAAAAATATAAAAAAATAATAAATTTATAGAAACCAGGTCAACCGGGTTGACCGGCCGGGTCAATGACCCGGGTTTGACCGGGTCCATTGTTACCCGGTCCAAGTAGCTCACCCTTAGATTGAGGTAACCTACTCCACCTAGCCCAATGAATCTTTTTCCCCCCTTCTTCTGTTTTTCACCGCCAAAAGTTAGTAATAGTTTGGCAGATATCATTACACACACCCACAAGGATCCTGAAAACAAGCATCACATAAACAAGGGCACACAACACAGTTTTGAGTAATGTTTGAGGAACTTGTTTTTCTAGTTTGTAAATTTTGACACCACACTCTTTTACAAAGGCAAAAGTATCCTTTTTTGACCTACCTATACCCAGAGGAAGGCTCAAGTACCTACAACGATAAGCACAGCTATTCCCTTAATGATTTGACAAATTTCAAGCCTAGATTGCTCCTGGGTGTTCTTTGAAAAGAAAATATTAGACTTGTTAAAATGTACAGCTTGCCCAGAGACATCCTAATAGTCTTTCACAATACCCATGAGAAGATTAGCATGATAAGAATCATCTTTGAAGAAAATCGAAGCTTCATCGGCAGAGAAATGATGAGATATAATAAAAGAGTTTTTACTTATTTACAGACCATTGAAATCTTCAAACAAACAAGATTTGTTTAATAAATTTGAGAAATCCTAATAAACTAGAATGAACAAATAGGGAGACAAAGGACCCCCACTGACTTAAACCCCTAGAAGCCACTAAGTTTCCCATAGACTGGCCACTGACATTGACGGAAAAAGATGAGGTACTTATGCAAGCCCAAATCCAGGGTAAAAAAGTATTAGAAAAAACACATTATTACACACTCTAATCAAGAAACCCCACTCCACCTATCATTGGCTTTCTCCATATCTAACTTCAAAGCCATGACACATTGTTTTCTTTTTCTTCCACTATTAAGGGATTGAACATATTCATTTGCTATGATTACATTATCTAAAATTTGTCTACCTTGCACAAAATCTGACTGAGATTGAGATACACAACAACTAATCACATTCTGAAGCCTATTTGCCAGAATTTTATCAACAATCCTATAGGTTATAGTACAAAGACTTATAGGCCTATCGTAACGCCCCACTTTGAATTTAAAGAAATTTCGGACTTTTCAAAAATCAATAAACTATTTTTCCAACTCATTTTTTAAATCGTGGGCATTATTCAACATTTACATAGATCAAGTCGTGTCTGATCTCACGGGGATTCATTATCCAGTTTTCCACATGGTTTTCATTAACAGATAAAACAACAATCCCTCTCTATTTATTAATTTATAACGTGTTGAGCCTAGGTGGCAGATTTCACGCTTCGAATGCTGATATGGCGAAAATCTATGCTTCGTGATGTTGTTTTTATATTATTTTTGCTCTGGAGTTAGGTTTGGTATTAGACATAAATAACTTTACATATATATTCATTAACTCAACACCCATGTTGTACATGGGTATAAGTACTAGTCTACATGATTATTAGCTAAACATCATAGCATGCTTAATAGATTCCACATGATATTCAAGTAACACATTTAACGAGAATATCCAAATCCAACTTTTCATAAGTTTGAAATAGTTTCAACATGTCTAAAACAGAATGAAGGTTCATAAAGACCACACAATTATTCATCAAGCGGAAGCGTAAAGCATAAATATATAACTGACCCACTCGTCCTTTCCTCGTCATGCTCGTCAACTGCTTAACCTGCATCCGTGAAGAAACAGGTGGGGGTGAGCACAAATGGATCTGTGGTGCTCATCACTATGCACATAAATAACAACATATGGTATGGTCGCAGTATGAACATAAATCAATAAACATGTCACATCTCCAATCATAACACACCAATTCACCTTACTCATGTATACACACCTATCGTTAGCTATTGCTAGTCTTTTCGAAGGCATCGCCATGTGTCTTACATCGTCAACTAGACAGTAGGAGTACATGTCGAATACATCGCCATGTGTCTTACATCGACATACATATCAAAAGCATCGCCATGTGACTTACATCGATTTACATATCGAAGGCATCGCCATGTGACTTACATTGATATGACCTTTCATTAGGACTTAGGGAGACTGCCTATCATTAGGCACCGCCGAAGGACATACAGCTAACATCGGGGACAACCGTACCGACGGCTGTAATAGCTCACATCGATAGGCTACGTGGTTCACACGCATACATTGAGCATACCAATTTCCAACAAAAAAAACATACGACATAG